AGGTGCTACAAATAACCTATTCAATCTTAAAAAAATCTAAGAAAAAAATACGTCTATCAAGTTGGTACTACATCTTGGGATTTGAATAAAAAAAATTATTGCATTAATTTATTGTAATTTGTCGTAAAGTTTACAAATTTGTCGCTTCTAATACGTCATTAATACGCTACTATCGTAACTGTAAATGGAATACTGTAATTGGTCAATTGTGGCTTTAATATGATGTCATATCAATTGATGACGTGGGCGAAAATTTAAAGTACGTTTAGTATGCCTTTAAAGTGCAATACCTCAAAAATTATTCATAAAAAACAACGCGGCAAATTTGTAAACTTTACGACAAATTACAACAAATTAAGCGACAATCAATAATGTCATTAGTTTTTTTGTTATCTCCACTCTTTACCATAGATTCCTACTGTCAAGTTAGCACTACCTCAAAAATGCAATATTTCAAATATTGTTTATAAAAAAGTTTAAACCATAATGCTATTTTTGGGCTTTGTAAAAATACTGAGAAGTAATTTAAATTAATGCGCACTTTATCTAAATGAACTAAAATTGTTTTTTTTTCTCATTTTAAATGACGTCTCTACATCGTAAATAATTATTCGTCAGCTTTCCTATTGCGGAGACAATAGCGATCAAGGTACCAACAGGTCGGACTCCCATATCGGAGAAATCGCGTTAATTAGCAGAATGGTTGTTTTTGGCGTACTACCCACGTCCAGTCCATTCAGAAAGTCCAGGCGATTTGTTGCAGCTTTTCCTTTACCGAGACGACGGCTACGACGACGACGATGTCCTCGACTTGTCCACGTGAGATCGCGTCCAACGCTTCTGAGAGACTCGAAGGCTCGTGGTAAGACCATGTTTGGTCGCATTTCGTGTACCTGAATCGACGCTAAAATGGGAATATCGCGTTCCGCTCGAAAACATTCCTCAAGATCCACTAATTAAATTAAACGTGCAGGCATTTTCGGCATGTTGAATTTGAAAGAATAGTTTTATCCCAGCGGAAACCAAGAAAATAAAAAAGGAAAAAAACTTTACTTCTATCATATAGGCTGTTATGGGTATCCGGGTTTAAAAACCGTTACATCGTACGGTGAGATTTTTCACAGGGGAACCATAGGAAACGTTGGTAATTACTTTTTAGCATTCCCAAGGGAGTCCCGACCCATATCTATCCACGTCGGAATTCTTATGGAACGGAGAACCAGAGTTTAGGCGCCAATTTAAAGCTTAAAACCCCCTTTTACGATACGTAGCAGACGTCCCCTCGTGCGATTTACAATGACCTTTCATTTTCCCCTTCTGTAGAAATGGCTAGACAGTTCAACGAATCCTATGGCGACGCAGACACAGGGGTAAACATCCTGAGGGGTTGATATACTTTTTAGTTTATGTGAACATTGAAATTTATCGAATGGAAGAAAAAGTTTTTACTTTCATCCATAAATATAAATCAAATTTATTCATTTTCTCTATTTACTTACTTATGAAAACAATACAAGGCAAATACAATAGAAAGTATTTCTAAGAAAACGATACGATACGGCGATTAAGGTTTAAAGTACTCCCTTAATGGTTTCAACGCAGACGTCCTCGTCGTCGTCTACTAACAAGACTCGATTATCCTGTCTGACGCCTTCGCGAAAGTAACAATTGGCGCCAAAATGGAAACGAATCGCCCCCTCGGGAAAAACAAGGTTTTAACGCGCACATAATCGCAGTCCAGTTTACACGATAACCATCTGTACTTTCGTTAACCAAACAATTCCGCTGAATCACTTGTATTGGTTGAACAATTCTCAGTACCCATATATTCCCCGCCCGGTACATAAATATTAATGACATTCCATCTATAGATTATAATTGCCTTTGTGTTCAGGGCCCGGGAATCAATTACTGTTCCCATCGATTCGACGATCCACAGTTGGTTACCATGAATGAAAACGCCGCTGGTCATTGCATCCATTGTGAAGGAGCAAACAGGTTCGGACCAACCTCTTCTCGCTAAAATTCTGGGCCATATACGGTTTAAACGCACACACAGATATTCGATGAACGGGTGGTTTCGTCGAGTTTATCTCGTAAACGAGACGTTCCAGTTAACAATTCATGTAACGGTTGTACGAGCGTGTATAGCTTTGCATGCTTAATGAGGACTGTTCTGTCATATAAATTATGGGACGAAGCGAAACGAAATGGAGGTTAATCGAACGGTAGCTGATTTGTATTAAAACAAAATTTAAAAAATGTTTCAACTATATTCTATTCTATTTCTATTTGACGAGTATTTACAGCTTTTTTTCGTTCCAATAATCTTCATCTCCATATTCATATTTTGGATTAATTTTTTTTAGGTTTACCTCTTTTGATTCTTTCTACTGGTATTCAGATCCAAAACTTAAATGGGATTCTTTTTTTACCCATTCAGCGTATTGAGTTTTGTGCCATCATTCTTCATATTTCCTCATTTTCAACTCGGTCCAGCATGGTTATGCCGCCATCTCTACTGCTAGCAGTCTTCGAGTTATCTTTTAACTATATTGAGGTTCTAAATTTATATCCCTTTACTTTATTAACTGTTCCAATAAAATACAAATACAAAAAAAATCGACGTGAAATCGAAAGATTAAATGAGAATTAACTCAATTAAACTACATTTTGTACGAATGCCGCGCTTAAAGCTATAAAAATAAAATTTACAGTTAAAAATAAATTATGATGAATGAGTCTAGGTAATTTTTCTTCCTGTCTTGAATTAAATTAAGTTCCATTTGTAGAGTGGACTAAATACTTCATTTCCACACTCTTGATAGAGGCGCGCGACATTTTAAACGTAATTACGTAGAAATAGCGTTTCGGGTACATTGTCAAATTGGATCCAATTACTGCCGCAAACGAGGTGGCAATTTAAATAATCGCCATAATTGAGTTACACGCTTTCGTTGCCGCTACGATGATAGCAGAAAAGATGACCAAGTAAATTTCTTTTCGGTCCGGTTAATTCGTATTCCTAACGTAAACCATCGCGAATGTTAATAAGTCGGCGTAAATCCGCGATCGACGTTTAATTTAGTTCGTTACTATCGGATGGTTTATCGTTCGTTGAAGACGGCAAACCGTGCTTTTGCCAATTAAATTCCGCTTATAAGGAGACTCCGATCTGCGTATGCAAATACTAACTGGGATTAATTTCGATGTTACGGTAAATAGCAGTTTGATGTGCGCATCGAACGCGTTTTAACGCTGTTATCGTTAGTTTATAACCTTGTTAAATGAAATTTTTAGTATGTAATATGGATAAAATTAAAAGAGCGACAAGATTTTCCACAGTTACGGCGTAATTTCGAACGGAATCGAGGTCCCTTTGTGAACCGAGTCCGAGCTGCCGCAATTTATAATACGCTAAATATCCTGCGACGCTGTGGCCTCGTCTAAAATAAGATCCATCGACGAATTCAGAAGCGCCCCACTTGCTTTAGGCAGGGCACGCATCCGAGACGTTTCCATTTAAGGGTAGCCTCTTGTTGTTCCCAACAACTTTGTCGGAACGTTTCTTGACCTCTGGTCAATTGGTACGTTACACAGACAATAAGCTTCTTGAGATGTTCAAACATACAAAATATTTCATAATACTTATACATCAAATCAGGTTGTACTGTTGAATATTTAAGTTACACATCAATAAAAAATCCCAAACAAATTTTGGGAAATGCCATACAAGTTTTGGGATTCCCAATGAATTCTATATATTATTTGAAAGTATTTTTAGAAGAATTTAGAAGTGTTCCCAATAATTTTTAGAATATTTTCAGTAACATAACCGTTAACAATTTTTCTTTCATCAACGAGCGGAATTAATCGACACAAATTCCGTGCTACTAATTTAGTTAGCGATCGTTTGAATGATCTAAAATTCCCTTAACTCCATTGGCTCGCATATTTTGCGTTCCAATAACCCGATCGGTTCGTAAACGATCAAATATGCGAGAAATCCATATTGCCGATCAGTCACGACCGATGGAATCCACGAAAATATCTTCTCAACACTCGTATAAAATACGTATTTTGCATAAATGAATATATTAAGGAACGTAAATCTTTTTAAATAGAATTTCGATAAACGAAACAAATAATACCATAAATAGTTATTTTGTACGTCTTCTTTTTTATGTAAGTACATCCAAAACGGTTTTTGTTAGAAAGTTTGAGACAAGGCGAAATTTGGCACGACGAGGTATAAATCCGGACAGGATGGTGAGTCAAGGTGAAAGTAATGTAGCTTATGGGCAAATTTGGAAACTTGTTTGGCAAACGCGAAAATGGATCGAAAGAAGCAACAAGTGTAATTAGGATAGTAAAAGTTTCTTTATAACCGTTTTAGCAAATGAAAAAGTTAAAAATAGATGTTCGAAACTTGAATTGGAATCAACACATTAAATTTAAATTAATTATTAAATGATTTATGCAACCCAAAAAGCATTGAAAAAGAATTTATATGTTTTACAATAATAAGAAACATCTTTAGCAATCTCTTGGTTAGCTTTACCAAAAAATGACAAAATATTGCCTCTTTTAAATAGTGAACCTAAATACAGGAATACATTTACTCAGATTATATTCTTAAAACAAGAAATCTGTATGTAATCTTAGAAAAAAAAACCATTAATTATTTCTAATCCCAAAAGGACGTTTAAGTCCATCACAAAGATTAAAAGTCGTTTGTTGACCCAAAAACAGGTCGAACATCTGGACTTATCCTAAAAGTATGTCATAGATTCTAAATTTGTATCGAATTTCATTTTAAATTCATTTCCGGTTGATGTTTGATTAATTTAAAAAATAGAACTTTACGCAACTTGCGTTTCGCAACAAATTTATGTAGCTAGGATTTTTCAATAATTTATATAGATCAAATAAATTTCTTTTTTTGAGTATTATGATGATGCAATATGCGACGAGTATCAGACAAAGTGAAAAGCACTTACCACATCGCCTGCACGGACACCGGTTTGAATATATGGTGCCGCCCACACACGGTGACGCTGAAGCCCCTGAAAAAGAACGTAGAATCAGTCACGGTCGAACGGAAGGAGGCGGAAGGCGAGAAACGAGGCGAACCGCCGAAGGATTTCAACCAGACAGCTTGGCGCTTGTCTGGCCTTATTTTACTATCTTGTTAAATTTACTTAATGCATTAAAAATTACATAAAATAACTATAGAAGTTTTTAATTTGATATCAAATATCTTAAAACAAAACAAAAATGTATTCATAACCAAGAATGTTGAACTAATAAATTCTAATTAAATAAAAGTACAAACTTCTTAGAATGTAACTTTAACAAGATATTTCACCAAGTATAATACGCCTTTCTACAAAAGCCACGCGTGGCCTTTTCATTTTACGAACAATAAATTCGTCCTTTCCACAAGGATAGCGTTCCTCCTCGGGGTCCGCGACTTACGTAAAGGCGCGCCGCGGAGCGCCCCTTTTCGTGACGCCGACAGCGTTTTATTTACAAACACCCGGTAAATAAGTCAGCTATTCTCTCCCTTTTACCTTTAAACCTACATACACGAAGACGTAAAGATATCTATAGCGGGGTGGAGGCAAATTGAATTATTGGCCGCAGTTTAAAGCGATTATATCGCGTAATCGCGACGGGCGATTGTCGTCAGTCCATAAGAGAGACCGGCCGAGATTTTGATTTACGATCGTGGCCGAGATTCGATCCGGATCGTGTAAGTACGATACTCGACAATGTTGCCAAGAACTGTATTGTGTGTGATGCGGAACGGTTAAAAGGATTAGGACGTTAAACGAGGAGTGTGTCCGATCGTGATATTAGTATAACAATCCTTTGAACGTTGAGTTACCTCCGTATATTAGAAGATTTTTCAACATCTGTTCGTATTAAATTATAAAGGAAAAATTTCTTGAAATATTATGTTTTAAATGTTCTCTTAGAGAAATTGATCATCACTATAATCTTAAACAAAGAAAATACATCTTATTATTTTATTATCTTCATAATTTTCTTGAAACATGTCTTCCATAGCCTCAGGGTTGTTGCGAGATGTATCTAAATAACATCAAAAAGCTTAGTATTTGAATTTCTTTTAGACTTTAAACGTTAAAAAAAGTACAAAAGCTTTTACTCTTAAATATGTTTCTTCGTCGAAAAATTTCCTTCGTATTCAAATTGAGCTTTTTTATGCATAACAACCGTACAAATATGCATTCAGGTCAAATATTTTTTGTCCTAAAATGATATATTAGGGTCTTAAAAATGAAGGACAAAAGCTTTCATAAATACACGACATTTTCTATAGGTCATAAAACAAATTATGGCAAACACCTAAACAGGATTTCTAAGAAATTTACAGAAATTTGTTGTAAAATTGTGTCAAAAGGCTTTTTGTAGAAATTATTCTTGCTTATAACTGCTATTCCTATATCCATGTATACGATGATGTTTGTAAACTAATAATTTGTTCGTTTTTGATAAAATTTAATGCGTTGTAAATTAAATTGTTGTTTACGAAAATTTATAATTATGAGTTCAAAAGTTACCGAGATAAAAAGTGAAAGCAAAGTGCTCGTAAGTTTTGTAATAGCTCATACATTTAACGTATGTTTGATACGTTTAAATCGAGAAGAGTCATGAGTCATAAATTGTAAAAAGTTGAAGCTTAGAGAAGGATTCAACATAGATTACGATCTTTGATTATATATAATATGGATTGAGCTAACTGAATATATCTACTAACAAAAATGTGGCTCAAGGTGAATAGACGCAGATAGAAAGCGATAATGTGAAAGTGTAACAAAGATAGACATAAAACGGTACTAAACAGACGGGCGCATGCGCACAAAAGTGTCAAACCTCTTCCATTTGACGTTTATCGTTTTGTTGTGTCACAGCCAGTCACACCGTTATGTTTAAAAATGTATTGTTTCGTGTGCAAAGTTCGCAAGTTTCACATCACCTGTAAGTATTATAAATGTTACTTCTAATTGATAGTTTTTCATCTTATAAATTAACGCACGCCCATTATATGTCAGTACGCTTCTATGTCTATCTCGGTTCGATCACCTTGCGCAAGCTATCTCTCTCGTTGGATCAATCCATATTATATATAATCAAAGATTACGATACTATAAAAACTTTTGGCACGAACAGTATATGTATACGTCTATGATAAATACATTGTCATTGTCATAAATAGGATTTACATTCCCTATGGATCTAATTTATCTGATTTGGAGAAAAGCGGTTGATGTTAACACATAGCCTCCAATTACAAGATGGTGAAAAGAAAATGAAAATTAAAAAGGGGAATAACACATAATGAATCATCTTTATTAACCTAAAGTTTGGGGTTGTTGCTCGCTCAAGGGTCAATTTTATCACCACTCCTTTTCTTAATTTACACTTTCCGCCTAATAGACGTTTTTAACAGCTATAAAGTTCATTTGTATGCATACGACACGCATACCTTTTATTTCCTTTAGAAACTTTAAACTTGAAAAGCCTTTCGAACCTTTAGAAACTTTGAACAATTAGAAGTATTTTGATAGATGGCAGTGAAATATAACCTGAGGTTCAACTCAACATACTTAAAGGTTCATAAGTTTTTAATAAATAAAATTGAATGGAAAAATCTGCCGAGACACGCAAACTATGTTTCATTTTGAAACTGATATCCATAATAATAAGTATTCAAACCAAAACTGCTGATATAGTTGAATCCGTTTATCTATCTTGTGTAATAATTCAATTTCTAAAGCTTATCGATATATTTCAGATTGATAATATCTAAAATAATTAAATTGGGGCTAAATTATACTTACCCATCTCCATCCAAAGTGATTTTAGTATCGGCTAAAACGCGTAATACCAAACCGACGGTTGTAGTTTCATTACAATCGATCCCCAAAAGACAAGATTCTTCAGCTTTAACGCCAATCCTGGATACAACAACCAAATACCTAGTTCTAGTGGGATGAACGCTTTCCAGTTTGACGGCCTGTAACAAAACAAAACGGCGGCGTGAAAACAAATACATTCGTACTATGTATAGAGTTGTGCAAACGCTTTTATGCTGTTTTTTTTTTCGGGAACGAAATTTATGGCGGACACGAGCTACGACATACGCTTACGGCTCTCTTACGCGCGGGTTCCATGAATTCCGTCACGTTCGTACGGTCTATGGTTATGGGTAGTAGTACCATAGACATGCACCTAACGCGCGCGCGATGTGTATCCACTTTCACTGTTATGTTTCTCAGTGTGCGAAGAAACAAACGCACATGCACACGCACCAGATTCAGATAAGAATAATAAATCTGCACGTGACTGCGTAACGTTCGCCCGGCAGAAAGTAAAAGTTATTACCAGATGCCGAGCCTTTATTGATAACCCTATCTTGAGATTTGAAAACGTGCCCAGTACTCTCTTGGTATAAATAGTACTATAGAAGTTGGTGGAAAGTGAGTTAGTGGTTTTACTGGATAATTACTTGTCAGTTTAGTTCTTTGATTTATCATCGTCAGCAATTCAAGTTGGGATGAACTCCGTCCTAGTCTATATAAAATATGTCAATTTTAATCCACTACACATATTCTCTCCATACTATGCAGTAGTTAATAAAGACTTAAGATAGCAAAAAGGGACGAAAGTTAACACTAATAACTTCGCTTGCTCATTATAAAATTTAATAGTATAAAAATTATAAGAAGATCAATATTATTAGCTTCTATTAAATGCAATTGAATGTTTTTCTTTCCTGTTTTCTATCTCAACATATAACAGGAGTAGTTCTTAATCACTTCCAATCCACTCAGGTTATATTTAGCTGTCGTAATTACCTGGATTGCCACGAGTTGTCACGTAAACGTGCGTTTAATCCAACACCAGGGTAAAGTAATTGGATGATACCTTTCTCTCGTTTTCATTATTCCGTCCGGCGTGTTGTTAAAAGCTCTGACCTTTCACCGTAAATGTCACAGGTGTGGGCTTTGTGAAACAGGTGACTGTGTACTTTTGTCGCGACGTTCTCTGACATTTTAAGGTCGTTAAAATCACGTTCAAAAAACAAATAAAACATATGCAGACAGTAATTACTTACTGAATCTAATGGAAGCATGTGATTCTATGTTATCATTTATGTGACTCCGATTTATTAAGATTATTAATTAGGAAGTATTATATTTAAGTAATGCGTTGAAACAAGTTACTGCAAATCCACAACGAGGCGGGCGCGGTGGACCGGTTATTTTACAAAAAAATCAGCCAGTCGTTAAGTTATTTTTACAGAACGTTTGCTATTTTGGTTTTGGACGAATTCCAAGAGTTCGTCTAGTATATTTTGTATTCGGGGCTAGTATCCGTCGGCTTCATGGGACACGTGGGATATTTATGCCGGAATAATGACTGGTCGAACTTGAATTCGCTCATCCATCTTGATCTTTCATGAACAAACCCATTACATACTCATTACAGAATATACAGGGTGAGATGTACTTGATATTTTGATTGGATTTATACCCATTTTGTTGTAACATGCTGTACATTAGAATGCAGTTTTTTTTCTTAAATTTACTTAAAAAAAACAATCTCGGTCAAGTCAGCATGCAAAATTCTTTGCAAATTTCAACTGTGAATATGTCCAGTACAATGGCATACTTTCGAGCGGAATGCTTTGGTGATTACTGAATGGTTGCTCTAAATGCTCTTAGTGTAACCACGTTTTCTGGCGTTCTAACATTCTCGGATACGCCAGGTGATTTCCTTTTAAGTATCGATACCGTTGACAATTCAGAAATATTTGAAAAATACTCTGAGACAAGAAATGAAATTGTTTAAAGTAGTAAAGAATTTATTAACATTTTGAATCAAAAAATTATGTAAAATAATTTAAATTCATTTAATTTATTAAATTGCAGCGTCCAACTTTGTTACGCCTAGAATTTTGATACTGGAGAAAAAAGGAGAATGTTTTAAAGTTATTTCTGTTACAGCATAAAGGATAAAGCTTGATGTTCTTCCCCAAATTCATATCTCCAACTCCTACACTTTCAAAGATCGATTACCCAAACGAACGTGTTCAATTATCAATCGAGGTTTAAAAGCTCAACTTGAAATTCGCATTAATCACTTTCCCAAGTGTTTGGCAAATGGGATACGGATTTTCGAGAATTCAATCGGTCCCCCCGATAGGAGATTTACTCTTTTAGATTTCAAGTGGATCTTAGCTTGGACGCATTCCAACGATTCAAAAGGGTTTCACAGATTTAAGACTTATTATTTATCATTCGCATTACTTTTCAAAGTATATGACAACATTAGGGAAACAAGAATGTGTAACGTTTTATGTAATGTAATGGTGAGTCAGGTCTGAACCAATCGGAACGTGACGGTAACGGTTCCGTGGCGAACGCTTTAATTTATTTATCGGGCGAAGGTAAACTTGGAGTTTGCGGAAATTGCAGGTGATAATTCAAATGGGACAGGTGCTTATCGAGTAACGTTAAAGGCGAGCCGAAGAAGAAAAACAGAAAGTCTTATTTAACGGTATAGGTGGATACCAATCTGTTAATTTGCAATTTCCAAACAACGTTAATTGCTTGTATTAGTAATCTTGCGAACGTGTGCGGCCATCGAACATTCGAATATGTATGCGAGAAGGCATTTGCGAAATAACTCGTTAAAGATTGAATTTGTTAGTATTGATGGATTGTGGAGTGTTGTTTTGTTTCTATTGCATCATATCGATAAATTTGAAATAGAAGTGGTAGGAAAAGAAAAGGAACTTGGAATTTTGCCATATCGTGAAAGATATGTTAGTAATTCATCAAAATCATTTCTACTTTTATTTTACACATTACTTTTGAATAACAACATGTAGTTTTTGTTATCTCTTATTTACTACCAGGAAATAAGTTTTTCGTTACACTCACTGCAATAATGACATTCCTACCATTAAAATTAAATTAGCCAATCTCCGCGGCAAACTTTTTCCAACTTCCCGGTAGAAATTGTAGGTGACCCGTCCTCGTAGCCCCACATTAGTGCTTCTTTGTTGAAAACCTGTTCTTCGTGTAACAGTATTCGAGCACGGCGGCGCCCGACTTTTTTCTTTTTTGCTCGCGTAACCCAAATTATCGCGTTTCTTACATCTCCTGCTTCTTTGCCCGGAGCAAAGAGCACATCATCATCCCGCGCTAAACGGGCGCGCAAATTCTTTGTAACAACAAATATCTTGTCGAGGACGGTGTGTAGTGAAAGGAAGCGGACGCGCCGTCGTGAGCAATCAAAAGAAAATTATGAAGCGTATAAATCGTTGTACCGTTAGCACGAAGAGAAGGATCGTGTGTATGTGTTCAGGACTGGATTTTGCAACACTAAACAACAATTAAAACTAAAATGTAGTAAACTGGCATATAGAAACTAAATGATAAACGTTTATTTTATTTTATTTAAATTGAATGCTTTGTTTGGAATTTTTATATTCGAAATAAGATCTGGTCCGGATCTGTAAATTCTTAAGAGTTTATGCTGGTTTCCTTATTGCGAGCCGTTGTCAGATGTCAACCACAAGAGAAAGACGAGTAAAACAATGGGGACAACACTACTCAGAGTATCTGTAACTGACACTGCACTGAATACGTACTATTATCTGTTCTGGAACTGAAGTACGCTACCTCATTGTGTGACTGATAAAGTTGAAAAGGTTTAGTTTATCGACCCAACCACTGTCAATGCCGGCGACAACTACGCGAACTGAAAGTTCTTTTTCAACGTTATCATGAAATCGATTGTTTCAAAACAAAAAACCTTTCTAAAATTTTTTTGTTACTGTTGCAACATTGGACCACTTCTTCCTTATTATATGTCCTGTTAGATATTGTATGATTTTCACAATAATTACATTATAAATATGATAATTGTATCACTTAATGTGTTAAATTATCGATCATATTGTACAGTTAATAGTAAATAATTAATTTCATCATAAATAATATTATTACCGACAACCTTATAAGACGCCTATAAAAGATTAATAACTTATTAATAAATGAAAATTAAAAAAAATACAATGGTAGTTAAACAACGTTAAATGATATAGCAGCGTAACCCAATAAATTAGTGTTAAGATATCGTAAAAGTTGTTTATAACTAAAACTGTTGCTAAAGCAATATAAGTAACACCTGTATTTATTATTCACAGACGTTTATACGCGTGAAGCATTCGGATTTTTAGTCCCATTTATCACTACGCATAATTCCAATATCGACGGGCGTCAAGCGTAACGAATAGTAAGAGTTAACACACTGTTTTGCATAAATACTCTGTGGTTATAAAACAGGTGGTTAATTCGCTTAATTGTATTCGGTCGAGTTGATTGTTTACCTCGAAAGTGAACTAATGATTAATTCAAAAAAGATAATTGTGCTCTTATTAATATTCACAGATACATAGTTAGTGATTTAGTATGATTTAATAAAAAAAATATTACTAAATGTTGCACAAGAGATACGTCGATTAGCATTAATTTCCAATTAAAATAAATGTCACATGAATTAATAGCGATTACGGTCGCGTTCCGTGGTTTCAGGTTGAGATAAAAATTAAAAAGAATCATATGGCATTTGCAGTAAACGTGCTGAGAAAATTACTCAACCACTACACTGCTCCTGTGTCAGGTGTGTAATTTGCCGGGTGGGGTTATTAAACCATTCTAAAGATTAAAATTTGTTTATTTAAACAAATGCGCCGGTACTTTAAGGAAGATTGATGTTTAACATCAATTTTGAGGTGACGTGAATGCGTAAATAAATGTTTGAACAAAGTACAATTGGCACCGGTTTTAACAATGTTTAATATCTCTTTAAAAATTATCAAGTAATAAAGTATATACCGTATTTTCTCGAATCTAATCCGCACCCTTTTTACAAATTTTATATGCTCTAAAATCAAATGCGGATTACAATCGGATGTGGATTACATTGGAAAACCAACTTTTTTACCATCATTGCATTGTTAAAATCGAGGTGCGGATTAGATTCGAGTGCGGATAAGATTCGAGAAAATACGGTACTTATAATTCGTCGCCTACAAATTAAATATTACATGCTACCTTTTTGAAATCCTATTTTGAAATGAACACCCATATCATTACAAATAACTTTCCAAAATAGTCTAGAAGGTAAATGCGATGGCATGTCTGCGGTCATCTGCGGTGCCCATATTAATACAGTGCGCTCGGAAGAGACTCTCCGTTTGTCTTTTTGGCCTGTGGGTCGTATGGCGTGACTCACTGCGAAAATATTAATGTGACTGACCTAACGTCTAGTGGGATTCGTTGTGTATAAATACGACAACCGCGACAAATTTACAAAATAAATTAAACTAAAAATCTCTTAATTAAATATTTTCAACATTTTACTTAACAGGTTAATCTTACAGTACAATTAAAACGTAAATCAAGATACTGATAATTAGTATCCTTGACGAGTTCACTGCCGCCGTTTCCGAAGTAGTGAGAAGAGAGCCCTCAAGTTCACCTGCCGCCATTTCAAAACGCACGCAGTTGTGAAGAGCTCTCTTTATCCACGAGCGTTCGTTCTGCTCCTTTTGGCCTCGAGTTCTTTTCAGATCGCCCCACTTTTATAATTGCGTTCATTCTTTGCCCTTTTTATTCCGTTCTTTGATCGTGACCCGTAATTATTTTCACACAAAAACGAATTACAATGAAAAGTATTAAATGAAAATCATGTTTTCAAATAACTTCCCATATTTTCAAGTCCCTTAATTTGAAGGATCAAAATTGATCGTTTACAAGAAATACTACTTTATAGGGAAACATTTACTTTCTATGCGCGTTTATGCACTTACGTATCAAAGTAAAAGTAATACGCTCCGTTGAGCAATGAAAAACGAGCGTAAGCACAAATAACAACAAACGCCCGTGTAATAAATAAATCGGCGCACAAATGCTATAAATAACACGGCTATGATAATCAACGGCGGAGCTTTAATTACTACGTGATTTACCAAGACAATTAATTATGTGGATAAATCAAAGATAAGGAACATTAACGATACAACTCAAACCAACAAAATGTTAATTAAGTATTTATTATTTTACAAGTTTGGCAAATATTCATTAGCTCAATGATCTAAAATCTCATATGCTTCGGACATGTGATAAAGACTTTTGGCAGTAATGATCTTGTAAGCCACACTTGGGAGTTCGTTGTAAGATGAATACTCTTGTAGCGTCTACATTGCTCTACTTGGAATTCAATATTTGATGATTAATATGACAAAATCCTTAGTTGAAGAAGCGAATCACAGTCAAATTTCTACCTAAACACAGTAGGAAATTCTGGAGTCTCGCCATTTGTGTACAAATAGTGTACAAAATATAATATTAGTTACTTCTAAGCATGATTAATATGAATATGGTTTTGTCACAATGACCATGACACTTTGTAGGGTCCAAAATCCAAACAAACATAAAGTCAAATCTGTCGATAATTAAGCATAATAAAGTTCCGTAATCCAAGCTGAGAAATTGGAGCGCCTCAGCTGGATTCTATCCACCGCTCTTCGAGTTGCTGTATATATCCATAATTTCGATTGTCCAGTTTCGGCATTACTTTCCACTTTTCGTTTTTAAGAAAAAAATTTGCAATTATTCTGACTGGATGATATCTAGATCATCTATCTGAAAATCCTCGATACTTCAATTCTTTAAACTACTATTATTTACAATTTGTGCTATAATTTGCTATGATAAAGACCATGAGTGATGTCCTCTAACCAGAGAGCCAACAAAGCGTCAATCATCAAAAATGTTTTTTATTTTCTTATGTACCCGAATTGTTTATTTAAACTTCTGTAAACTAAACTAAGTTTGTATTGAATTCTTCAATATAATGTTTGGTGTTGTCGATTAAACATTGACTTTGATATCGTTTATATATCTGCATCTCGTGTTAGAAGTTACTATACAAAACCAACACGCGAACGAAGGTCGTTTATATTCTCCGATTTCTACTAGAGGGCGATAGCGGACACGTGCCTGTGTGATATACACGAAACAAAGGATCTCGTCGTTCGCATTTACATTGCAAGGTCTTAGGCGCGTCGCGGTCTGGTGAGTAGCAGACCGTCGACGTCCAAATACATCCAACCGGAATATTTTAGCACGTTTCTGACGAAATAACATCCCGGTATGAGGACGCAAAAAAATAAGATAAATTTTATAACATTTATGCCTTATGTAATCGTTGTTGGATTGTGAAGGTTATTTTTTTAATGCCACGTGCTAATAAAGTCTTTTGCTTGGATTAGATCAATAATTCATTCAACAGAGTGCCGGTAATTTACGAGTAATAGAAACGGTGATAAGTAAATCTAAAGGTTATTTCGAAGTAAAATCTGTCTTTGTTTATATTGCGTGTAATCCGGATTTAAAGCGTCGTAATTTATTTTTGGAATTTTGGCAAGGTTGACAGGACCGAGTCAATGCATCTCGTGAATCTTTGTGTTTCCGTGTCGACTGTTCAAATTTTTGGGCACGTTCCATGGCTTAATAACGCTATAAATATAAAAATATTCTGACGTACATCGCACGAATATTTTCTACAAATATGGTACTAAAAAAGAACGAAAATAACAACTAAACGTCGTTAGTAGTATTCTTAATTAACGTATATGCTACAACAAACACAAACTATCTCGTGGAATTTATCGTAAACGAGCACTAACAAGCCGATGTGATGCAATTGTGACATAATAACGACCCTTAATTGCGCGGGTCGTTGATCCCAGCATAATGCGACCGTTAATAGGTAACGATATCTTTATGACCGCTTGACTTCATGAATAATAAACACGAGTTCCAAGTCGCGACCACGAAGAGGCGAATGTTTTGCGTGTCGTTGATTAAAATCTTCAAGCAATTTATAGCGAAAATAAAGATAAACAATAGATACATAAAAAAAATCACTTTAACTTTAAACAAGATTTTCCAATTTTCGTTTATGAACTTACCATTTTCAACGTTTCTTCAGGTCGTAAAAGATAAAACATAGACTGCAGGTGTTTTTGAATTTTACTGCCATTGGCACCGGTTCGTCTACTAGACTTGTGAGCCTCTGCCGGCAACACGAGTGCCGTACCCTTTCCAGCAAAGTAACATTCGCTGAGACTGTAAAAGAAATGAGAAAAAAATTAGTATTAAATACGTCTGTGGTGATTACAATTATATGCAAAAAATATGGGGAAAAGCTTTATAATAAATAATAACTTTGTGTTGTTTACTATTCTGATTACTTTAAGTTACAAATATTTCACATGAACTTTTTTCTTATTTTTGTTACACCATGTTTGATCATTTAACCAAGACACGAAGCTCACCTGCCGACATCGACGTCGGTTTTCAAGTAAATGTAACAATGAGGATCCAATATGGAAACACCTTTATTTTTCGTCACGATCGCGTATCTCAGTTCGTTAAAACCACGTACTTACGGTACCGCGCGCTAAACTAATGAAACCTAGACTAAACTCGGTTACAATAACGCGATGTTCAGACGTCCAACTCGCACAAAAGTCGTAGGCGGTTTCGAACCACACGAAATGATATTGTACACGTCACTAACGCTTTTAATATTACGTTACGAATATGAAAAAAAAAAAGTTAGTATTAAAAAATAGGTTACGTTTTTGTATCTTTCGATAATATCTAACACAATTGTAACTAAAGCCAAGGGGCGTATCTCGTATATCATCCAACACTGACATATAATCTCTATTTAAACCCTACTAGAAGTAGTAAACTAGATAAAAAGGAGGCGGAGTCCTCGCCCTAATTTACATATAGATTCGTTTCTTTTGGACAACCTCGAACGTATTTCTAGTCGTTCGTTTACAGTTATTATAAAATAACGAATGTCTATGCCAATTTATCACTAACGTAAGTGTGCAGTAATTATAAAAGTACTTTTTAAAATATCTTATACATAGTAGTAGTATTCACTAAAATCTTATACCATATTTTAGTAATTTAAGAATATAAGAAATCTTATAATTAAAAAAGTATATTTTTTTGGTAACAAAACTGTGTTAATCTGGTGGCCCAGATATATTGAACGGCGTATAGCCGTTAAACCTTGGCACTTTTCGGATAAATATCTTTGGATACACGTGCGACGACAACTAACGAACCCCCAGCAACCAGATGTTGGCAAAGTACTTTACAAAACAATTTTAAATCTAAAATACTAACCACTTCGTTTAAGAAATATTTGTAATAAATAACTCCACGCATTTTGCGATTGAACAAGTATTTGCGTATCTGACAAATTACAAAACAACACTGAGATTACGAGAGTGCGTTTTACAACAGATTAAGATAATAGATTAACAATTTATTTATACGTAAAATAAAAGCGAAATTTAATGTCATTACAAAACTCATCTCAAAATAATATTTGGTTTCAAATCTTAGGAAAAATGATTTAAATCGTTGTAGTTTAGCAAATTAGTAATTATTTAGATCAATTTAGTGTGGTGTAAGATATGATGCAGTATAATCTAAAACTTGGCTTAGCACTCTAAGTTTTTCTGTTGGTGTCGAATACATCACATAGTTAGGACCTTGAAACGAAATATATGGTTATGTCTCGAATTTAATCCGTTCTTTATATCTACATTGATTTACCATTTTTTAACTTCTTTGCTCAAATTGGAAGGTGCTGCTTTAGGTGTTCAAGTTAGTCTCTAGAAGACTATGCACTGCTTAATATGGCTGACCTTTAAGCAACATATCTAGCGAGTTGATTTACCCAAAATTACCAGTGGCCTATGTTATTCAGAAGTTGAAGCTGAGTAGTGATGCTCAGAATGTTCCCAGAGTCAGTAGACTCACTAACTGGGGAGATGAGACTAGTGTGTGAAGTCGAGAGTAAGCACTGATGGATCAGACGATAACAGTTTCAGCGGGAATCTAGGAGTGTTGTTTCGTAAATCTGTGATCACTAACTCTAACCAAGCTGCTCCGTTAATCTTATGCAAAACTCGTCGATACTCGATACTTCTGGAGCGAAAACCAAGTTATTGGTAGATAATGTAATTCATGCGAAGAGAGGCTGGCTACTCTTACCTACATTACGGAGACCATTTCTTGGATGAATCATATTTGTATTATACAGGTTCTTAAAATGCTTAAAAATCAATGATTAATCCGGAAATTCATCCGACCAAAAATAAAACGCCAACCCGTATTTTCGAACATACGTTATACAAATGCCATAAACGTGAATCAGCAACGTCAATCAAAAGTAAAATTGGACCCACCATATTATTATTATTATTATCTCAATCTGTTCTACAAACACACAAAATTATACCTATTCATGTTAGATTTTTTTATCACAATAATCAATAACGTATGTTCATTGGAGAACAGTAAACGAGAAAAACGAGACGTATACATGAACTTTTCTTGAAAATCATAGTTAAAAATTGTTATCATTTATCCCTGTAATTCAAGAACGCTCTGTATAGATAGGGATCCCATTACCATTTCCTTGGTTGATTGCGTGTAATGGAGACTGCACATACACCGTCAACTTAAATCATATCCCGTGGGCTTTTAAAGAGCACAATGGTCGTTCACCTGTCGGCAATAACTGTAAACAAACTGGTCTGCCGGGAGAGAGAGCCCCAGACTGGAAGAAGAATCGCCCGCGGGTTCAGTACGGATAGTTTAGAAAGGTCCCGTTCTTCGCTCGAAGATATCTTTACTGCAGCAAATCGTAAAAAAACTTCCTCCTATCATTCAAAAAAACTAGTAACACAAATTCTAATAAGAAATAGCACAAAAAGAGAGTCTGTCAAGATTAATTAACTATTGAGAAATTTTCTGACTCTTTGTTATTGGAGGCCGTGAACCTGAACTATTCGTTTAGGAAAACGTAACAGTTTAACGTAATAGCCTTTTTCGGTAACGGCTGGCCCACTTTATACGGCTTTTGACTTTCGATTGTGCAACGGCATCGGCCTTATTTAAAAGACCGTGCCAACTCTCGCCTTTTCGACGTTTACACTTTTTTAGCCGCTCTAATTACCAATATTGCGAAATAGTATATTGGCGCAAAGGTATACCAGACTGTTGGAATGTTGGTTAAAAAGCCAGTTGGCTATATTACGTGAACGTGATTTTAACACAAAATATAAGCGAGCCGAATTAAGTAACTCGTATTTCAGAGTTCAAATAATAACACTTCAAAATCTAGAGAAATAATCAAACAAAGGAAATGATTTTCTAATAAACATCAGAGTAGAAAGTTTCACATATCTTAAAAAAAAACTAGATGAAATTAAAGTAATTGCGTAGAATGTATTACTAGGTTACTAGAACTTCCTTTACACGACGACTTTAAGTTAAATCGTTGTGTGATTTATGGTGGTCTCTTCGGCTTATTCCTGCCCTCGGGGCGTCGTGACCGAGTGCACTTAGACCGACGTGCATTATCACTAATGTCTCTATAATTTCCAGACAATGGGTCGATTGTTAAAGCGCCGTGTGCCACGAGAGATCCGATAATTAGGACGATCGATCTCGCATGCCCGGGGAAAATTGAACAAATTTTCTCCCGCGAAGTGGTGAAGGCGTCGGAACGTGAAAGCGGCCACCCTGAAGAAATTGAACGCTGGACGGTATATGCATCGCCCACGATATGAATCACGCGATCCGTAAAAAAAGCGGAGGTCGCCGAACCGTTTCCGCACGGTTCTGTTAAGTAGGACACGCATCGCGAAAAAGGGGAAAAGATTCGTTTACATTCGCAGCAGACCATTGTTCGACACAGGTCGTAAATAACTGACTATCGCGAGCCTTTGTGACAACTGACAATAGGTCGCCAAGTAATGGATATTCTACGAAAAGTATGCCAAAACCTCACAAATTAAAAAATCTAATAATGTTTAACTTCAAAATGCTCACAAAATGTTGCCAAATTAATTATTTGTAAATTTGAGGATTTTTTCTGTTGAACAAAAACTATTAAGAACAATTGCATCGTATAGTAAGGTACGGTACGGTGTACTGCGATTTGCAATACATGGGGAAGGTGCTACTTATTAGGAGACATTGGGAGGAACCGTAGCTATTCGGAGGAATTAGAAGCCATTTTGAGGTGTATCAGAAACCATTATTACATTATTGCACTAGAATTTAACTTGCTTCAAACTTGATAACAATGTAATCACTCAAATAAGTAACGTCAAAATTTTTTTATCAATATTGTCTCTTCTCAAGATACTTTCATGATCATTCTTAAGGTAGAAAACGTAGATTAAAGATTCGCTCCATATGGTAGTATCCTCTTTTAGTATGACGTTCAGGTGTACGTCCCAAGCTTATAATAGTTATCTTAAATGGGTGTATTATCCAAGCAGATTTAGCTCCGTTTATGACCATAGCACGTGGCAAGATAGCCGCGGAAGGAATGAATGTGACATTAAGTCATGGTAGGTGAACACTCACACTTTGCAAATTTCACCATAGCTTTTAAGAACGCGAATGTTATCGAATATAGCTAGCGGTCGTTTACATTATAAACGATATTCGTAACGAGCGATTCATTATGTATACACAACGCGCGGAAATTTCCCACGCGTTATTACCTCGAGAGCGATAACGGCTAAGAGCAATTACGCGCGATCTGTTACTTGAATGTCACCGGACGAGCAAAACCGTGACGGTTCTTTTAGTCACAGCAACGTTATAATTCCTTAAGTGAACGTGTGCAACAATAACGACTTTCTCCGCGGATGCATTCTCTTACAGATGAAGGGAATTGTCATAGAACCGTAACTTCAACGTGAAGAGTACAATTTTCCATTTTCCGGTGATTTAAAATTTAAAACCGACGTGATAAATCTCGTAAGAGAAAGCTCAAGACTACACCCTTTTTACTATTGACCTTCAAATTAATTTATTTCACTTATCATTTTCTTTCAGGAAATGACTAAGTACACATTTAAACAGCGTGACCTTAGTACTAACAATTAATCAAAGGAATATAAACTCTTATCTTGCGATAATTATTTGAGCTTAAAACGACTTTTTGGGATTATAAATGAGTCAGTGAAAATTAAATTTTAATTAAGTTAAAACTCTCATATTTTACACACAAGATA